GGCGGGCGCCTCAGAGGAAACAATTTGTTCTCCACCACGACGATGATTGGGGGAGGGGCGAGGAGAGGGAACGCGCGCCCTGGGAGTCTGCCCCGTGTTCGCCGCCGGAGCTGTTGCCCTCCGATGTTGCTACTGAACCAACAAAGTGCGCGTGTGCTACACCAATTCACCAATTCCACAATAATTCTTCTCTCTCTCTCCACAAACATCTGAGTGCTGACCGGGACGCGTCTCCGAGTCTCGTCACTCTCACACAGCTCACTCGCAGTTTCACGAGCCGTCGTCACCCCAGTGCAGCATCGTTCTCGCGCGAAGCCCCTCCTGGCCCCGCCGCCGCGCGGCTCCCCACGGTCAATAGAGTCCGACAGCTCCCCCTCACCCCAGATCCGATCCGCCCCGCCGTAGAATCCAGTCCAATGCGAGACGATAATCCCGTGGAGACGACTAATCCGCGGAGATGATTTTGTGCGGAATAAGTACAACTGCAGACCGGAAGCTATACTCCCCCTCGTCCCTTTCCGGCGAAGGGGAAGCTGCCGAGAGCGGAGCTTATCCCCGCAGCGACGCGGTCGTGTAAAGTACCCCTATCCATTGCGTTAAATAGACCAGTAGTGGAATGCGCTAAAGTATCGATCAATGGTAAACAAAGCGGAGACGACTAACCGGCATGCCGAATTAACTGCGGGTTGAGAGTTAACGGGAAGGTGGGCTCGACTAAACCGATTAATCGCACTACTCATCCGAACTCGGCGAAACTAAAAACGATTCAACCTGAAACGTGATCCATGAGTAGTCGGTGTGCTCATTCTTTTCTCCCGGCCCACAGGCGACTCGCTGACGAGGACGACGAGCTGTCCGAGGTGCAGCCGGACGCGGTGCCGCCAGAGGTGCGCGAGTGGCTCGCCTCCACCTTCACGAGGCAGTTGGCCACCCAGCGGCGGAGGCCCGACGAGAAGCCCAAGTTCCGGTCGGTGGCGCACGCCATCCGGGCCGGCATCTTCGTCGACCGGATCTACCGGAGGGTGTCAAATGCGGCGCTCATGCAGTTCCCGCCGGAGGTGGTGCGGGTGCTCAAGGTGCGTGTTCGGCTGGTTCAGCTTCCGCCCCACCCTTGGCAGTGGGACGCTCTTTCTTACTAGGCGTGTCGTCTACATGCTATACAGAGAGGTTACTCAGTTTCTTAACGCTCTGGTTGCAGACGCTGGACGACTGGTCCTTCGACGTGTTCGCCCTGAACGAGGCGGCGTCGGGTCAGCCAATCAAGTACCTGGGTTACGACTTACTAAATAGATATGGTATCATCCACAAGTTCAAGGTGGGTATAACATTAAGAGCCAAAAATAATATGGATGGAGAGCGTTGAAGGAAGAGTGACCGTCATGTGTCTGTGCCGCGCAGGTGCCGCCCACCGTCCTAGAGACCCTCCTCGGCCGGATCGAGGAGGGCTACAGCCGGCACAAGAACCCGTACCACAACAACCTGCACGCGGCCGACGTGGCGCAGGGCGTGCACTACATGCTCTGCCAGACGGGGCTCATGGTAACGCCCGCCTGTCGCCTTTCCTTCCCCCCGCGGCGCGCCCGCTGCGGCCTATACCGCACGAATGCACTAACACCTCGCGTCTTTTGCAGAACTGGCTCACGGACTTAGAAATATTCGCCACCCTGTTAGCGGCGATAGTCCACGACTACGAGCACACGGGTACGACCAACAACTTCCACGTCATGTCCGGGTCGGACACGGCGCTCCTCTACAACGACCGCGCCGTCCTCGAGAACCACCACATCAGCGCCGCCTTCAGGTGAGTTGCGGCCTCGGCGGGGGGTAGCGACACCCCTGCCGGGGGCAGAGCGGGGCGGGGGGTAGCAACACCCCCGGTGCCGGAGCGGGGAGTAGCGACGCCCGGGCCGCTGGGGACGGTGCGGGGGTAGCGACTCCCCCAGGGGCGGGGCGGGGGGTAGCGCCCTCCACGGTGGTCATCGACCGTTTGGTAGGGCAGTCAGAAAATTTCAGTCTTTCCTCCCCGGTTTAATGGTCCGAAATTTTTAGCATATTAGTTTCAATTATTGCCACACCGTACTTTCAAAATATCAGACCCCGGACAGGGAAGGTTAATTT